GAAAAAAAACTCCCCAAATACAATAAACCAAAAAATAAGGGTGGCCCGGTATAATTAAACTCATTTCTTATAACAAACTTTAATCCTAATGAGGCTTCCCATGATTTAAGATATGAAGACCAAAATGGTATGGTATTGCGGTATAGTCGTGGTCTCCTTTCTATGCATACAATTCGGTTGACCTCGTTTTCGCAGTTTTGTCTTGTCTAGTAGACTTGGTTGAACGCGCTTTGTCCGAAGTTAAATGAGCTCAATCCCCTTGAAAGTTTGTCAAGGGATTGAATTCATTTGTCTCTTTGAAGATTTGTAGCTTGGTGCTGAAAATGGTAAGGCTTACTGATGATTCTGGTGAAAGGTATGAGTATGTACTAAGTCCATGAACCAACGCTGGGACTATTGTAGAGTACTTCGGACAACGTGCGTCCAACTAAGTTTCCCTGATAGCAAGACCAAGTTACGAAAACGAGGTCAACCCACTTCCCATGTCTAACATATATTCTTATAGATGGAAGAGGTTTGTGCATGCAAAAATGAAGTGGATTTGGAGGTAGCTACTTATTTGATTAAATACTCAAGCCTATGTATTGCGTCTATAAGTATGTTTTCGAGACTACCAGTAAGTCAGTTCTGCGTTTTGCTTGTATACAGAGTCAAAATCATTTGAAGTTTAAGAACCCTAATTAGACTCGAGGGTTTTCAGGCCTCTTCCTCTTCCTGTCTTTCCGTAACCCTGTCCAACACCCAACAATATTTCCCGCTCGATTTCTTACGTTTGTTTTCCCTATTTAGAATGTTAGCTGCTTTTTTTATTTCCAAACTTCCTAATCTTACGCCTTTTATGTGAAATCCGCACATCCTGCAAAATGCTGTGTTCTGGATCACTCTATTTCGTGTCATGTATTCAGCCAGCTCAGATTTTTGGACCCATAGTCCTTTAAATACATTCATTAGTCACAAAACGTGAAGCCAGTGCACTGACAGCCTCATAATGCTCATAAAGAGAAGCATAGGTTGTTTCGGGAGACCAACCCACTTTTCCTTTGAAATGCAAGGTCATGTCACGATAAATTACTTAGAAATTCTTCTTAGCTTAGTTTTTATCTACAATTTAGCCATGCGTTTTATCTCGAGGGGCTATACATATCCAAAAGTTGTTTGACTTCATTTTCACAACTTGGTCGTGTTGGCATGGTACATAGATTGATAGTTAAGTTTAAGGATTTACGATGTCACTGAAGTTCATTAGTGCCTGCTTCTAAAAAGTATTCTTCAGATTAGGTGAACGCTCTGACGATGTCCGTCACATGACGGGCGAATGCTTAGCGCAGGTTCTTAGGGTCGTAAGACGTTGAGCCAAGCACTTCTTCACTCCGCACGAATCCTCTCTTGGTTTCCATTGGGGCTAATTTACGAAGTTCTTCCAACCAACTTTTCCTCCAAAATGGTTAGTCATGTCACAATTATTCTTATGTCTCCTTGGATTATCCATATGCTTGAGATCTTACTCATAAATTTATCTAATATTCAGGTTTGTAGATTGGTGGCCTAAAACCTTTGTCGCTCTTCCTTGGTTTGTTTTATATCTTTTAATTCCTTTTCATTTTAAATTTTCTAATCTCTTTTTAGCCTTTTTAAATCCATATCCTCTTACGCTGGTTATTGACAGTGAGGCAACACCGGAACATTAGATATCCTCTTCCTGTGCTTAGCTGTTGACTTGATTTTTTTTCTCTAAATGTATCTTGCATTGTAGGAATGAAGACCAGGCTGATATCTCCTTAGGTTTGGTCGCAATCTCATTTCGCTGTATTAAGTTAGTATGACCTCGTTTTCCCAATTTGGTCGAGGCGACAGGGAGACCTTATGGAACATACTTAGTCCTGCTTCCTCTGTCATTATACTTATGACTATCGTCGGCATAGGATTGTTGACATCCCCAGACAGTTGGCCCTATCTTGCATTGTTGTGGCCGGTCAATTTCATTTTATTGTTATTTTGTCTAAATTATTGTGAGCAATCACAGCTTTAGTGTTGTTTTAGACCATGAATTTTATTAATCTGACTTTTTGGATGTTCATATCACCCAATTTTTCGGCAGTAATAACAATTTTTCCAATAAATTAATGATGAACAAAGTGAATAGGTGCTAAGACTTCTTCGAATGCTACATTCACTGATAATATGTTAGGAATGCAAATAACAGGTGATTATGCACTTTCATTTTACAAAACCTACTTAAGTTTATATTTTGTAGATGTCATTTAAACTTGCTTATCCCGAAATTCGTCAAAATTATACATTTACCATAGATATCTCAGTAACTACTAAAAATATTGGTATCTCCTCCTTCCCCTCTTCATATTTATATCTGGCCCCTTAATGTTCTATATTTTCACCTGTTAATTCATCTATTCGCCTACTTGTCCTTAGGTTTGTGGTCTCCAGCCTGCTTCTGCTTGCCGGACTCGTGGCCTCTTGCTAGAAGGAGCCCATCTTTGGTCTCCAAACCTTTCAATCAAGCTTCTGCAGGAGTTTGGCTTTCAGCCAGATGTGGCCCAACACCTGGCCCGGACCTATGGTGACAAGGCATTTAAAATCGCCCAGTCGACCCAGCCCTCAGGCAAACGTTGGCCTGTTACCGGAACTCGCCTTCATCCTGATTTCCCTTATCTCGAATCTGAAGTTTGTCCTTCGTTACCCCACCTTTTAAATTTACATATTTTTAACATTACTCCTTAAAGACTTCACTACTTGCACGGATCTAGACCATCTCTTACGAAAACTATTTTTTTCGAAATGTTTTCAGAGACCTCTTGTAAAGTAATTCGACTATCATTCCTCAAATAATCTTAATCGACCTAGGGTGACTAAAGTTCTTATTCAAAATTTGTTGATAGCTTCGAAAAAATATTGATGTCCAATAATAGCAACAATCTATTATATTGGCAAACAAAATTTTGCTTTATCGACAATTCTATGAATGTTATTTGGGAGAGGTCTGGCTTGCTTTAAAATTCTATTCTACCCCTTGACTAATTCGTAGCTTTATGGTAGAGTGGTAATGTGTCGCCACCTTAAGCGCATTGCCCTTTTTCAACTCTCGTTGTGGGTGCTGATGAGACGTAGGCGGTTCGAGACTGTAGTCCACTCTGGATAAGAAAACCTGGTTGGCTAAGCTGAGTGGAATTAAATTTCACTAT